TGCAGTGACAATCGGACCCAAAAGATCCTGAGTAATTCTACTCACAAATGTCTCCTATAAAGCACAACAAAGCAGACCAAACACACGAGACCTGACCGCAAGTAATGGACAGTTTCTCAAGGGAAAGGCACATGTCTTCAATTACTGTCTGTAGGGTCAGCAAACTCCAAAACAGCCGATGCACCTTGACTTTAAAAAATATATATGTGTTTAGAGCAGAGTTCCCTGAATGAGAAACAAACAGCAGAGGAGTCGAGATAGAAGTGCAAATCTGAATCAAATAAAAATCACATAAGAACGCATAATTCATATAATAATAAAAAATTAATTATTCATGAAATTCATTATTCTATAGATGAGTGACTCTAATTAAAACATGTCAGTCATATTTAACTTTACATTAAAAAAGAACAATATTACATAATTAAGGTTTTTGCTACATGCTAAAAATACTGAAAATAAAATAAGTAAAAAAAATACGGAAATTTACCAAAAATTGTGAAAAAATAAAATATTGAAATTTGCACCATGATTTTACCTAAAACATGTCAGTCATATTTAACTTAAAATTTAAAAAAGAACAATATTACGTAATTAAAGTTTTTGCTACATGCTAAAAATACTGAAAATAAAATAAGTAAAAAAAATATGGAAATTTGCCAAAAATTGTGAAAAAATAAAATATTGAAATTTGCACCATGATTTTACCTAAAACATGTCAGTCATATTTAACTTAAAATTTAAAAAAGAACAATATTACTAATTAAGGTTTTTGCTACATGCTAAAAATACTGAAAATAAAATAAGTAAAAAAAAAACGGAAATTTGCCAAAAATTGTGAAAAAATAAAATATTGAAATTTGCACCATGATTTTACCTAAAATATGTCAGTCATATTTAACTTAAAATTTAAAAAAGAACAATATTACGTAATTAAAGTTTTTGCTACATGCTAAAAATACTGAAAATAAAATAAGTGAAAAAAAAAAAATGCAAATTTGCACCATGATTCTAATTAAAACATGTCAGTCATATTTAACCTTAAATTAAAAAAGTTTAATTAAAAATTAAAATATTTCATAATTGAAGTTTTTGCCACGTGCCAAAAATTGTGAAAAAATAAATAAATATTGAAATTTGCACCATGATTTTACCTAAAACATGTCAGTCATATTTATGACTAATTAAAAAAGAACAATTAAATTAATTAAAAAAGAACAATATTACATAATTAAGTTTTTGCTACATGGCAAAAATTCAGAATAAAATAAAATAAGGATATTTGCACCATGATTCTGTGAATATTTTGTTCAAATTCATAATTGAGAGAAACAAAAATTACAAGAAAAAACAAGGGAAGCAAACAATAAATAAAATAAAATCGGGATCAGATGATGTGTGACGTGTGAATGAGAATCTTGTTCATGTGAATTCATAATTGAGAGAAACAAAAACTACAAAAAGCAAACAAACAAATATAAAATCTGGATCAGATGATTCAATGAGAATCTTGTTCTGATTCATAATTGAGAGACAAACAAACAAATAACCAGATGACCAACATAATTCAATGAGAAACTTGTTCAAATTCACAAGGCATGGTTTCTAAAGTTAAACATTTGAGAGTGAAATTAAAGCTAGTGCACATATTTAAAACACGCAGGTGACACTGAAATCCAACACGCAGGATTCTTTGGATTTTACAGCATTACAAAGATGACAACTTCATATCAAACAGAAACGACAGAAAGAATGCAAAGCACAGCACTGGATGATGGATTTTACACTACGGACCCTGAGAAAGAAAGCGATAAAGATGCACACTACAGAAGTGAGGAACACACCATAAAGAACAGGCTCCAAACAGCACATTTCTGTGCCTCAACAAATGATCTGTGCTCCATTACATTAATTCACAGCAAATGAAGGCAAAACAATCAAAATATGTGCTCTTTGCCATCATGCTTTGAGGGCTCTGCTCTAATGGGGCTGGACATTCCTTCTCTTCAGGATTGTGGGTAATGTGGCCCATTATTGTCAGGAAAATGAGTCTGGCTCATGTTTACACAAGCGGACGGACAGACGGCTCGATAAACACAATCTTGTTTTCCCTCACAAGAGCAATATGATGGCACAGATTCATCTTACAATTCACTTTAGAGAACATATTATTGAAAACAGGATTTGTCCTGCTTTTTTGTAGCAAAAGAGCTCAGTATAACTGAATCTAAGCTGCAAAAACCTAAAAATGTCACTGTCATTACATCATAACTACCTTCACATATGACTGCGTAATAAACAAAACACTGAAGTTAGCCAACCAGGTCATTTACATAAGTGCAGTAGCAAAAAGTTTGTTTAATTCTGATTCTTACAGCAGATGGAAAGCACTTGTGAAAAACTAAATTGATGAATTTAGAAGTGTGTGTGTGTGTGTGTGTGTGTGTGTGTGTGTGTGTGTGTGTGTGTGTGTGTATAATTAGTATTAAAATAATTATACTTAATTTTTTTTATAATTACTAAATTAGCATATTTTCTAAAATAAAATACATTATTTTTTATTAAAAATAAAATCCAAAGTATTTGTTAAAAGAACAGCAATACAGTTATTAAAATAAAAATAATTTTTAAATATGGTCTTTTATTAAAATATAATATTTATATTAAAATAAATTATGAAATTATGAAAATACAATTATTTAAATTTTTATTACATTATTAAAATATTTATTCAATTATTAAAATAAAACAATTATTTAGATAATTATTGAATAAGTTCTTAAAATATCAAAAAAATATAAAAATGTATTTTAAAAAACACTAATTACTAAAATAAAAATGATTTAGATATGTTTTTAAATAATGACTTACAAAAATAAAATAAAATACAATTATTAAAATAAAATTTAGATAACACAATTTTGCATAACATCTTAAAGTAAAATAAAAAAATACAATTATTAAAATAAAATAATTATTTACATAATTCTTAAATAAGGTATTTTCATAAAATAAAATAATAAGAAAACACATTTACATCATCCCCAACATTGCAAAGTCAGCTACTTTTTATTAGCTTGCAATGAACTTTTTCAAAAGGGTAGCTTGACTGATGTTTAACTACTTTAAATGAGCTTCCCCAACACTGGGGAGCAGTGGAAAGTTTTGAATGAAAAGCTAGCGGAAAATGGTGAGAGAGACCCAGAGAGAAGGAATGACTGAAAGAGAGAGAGTAAAAAGCTTGCATAGGTATGTGAGCATTGAAGGCCTAGAATTATACATCTCTCTAATTATTTCCAGGAATCTGGAGCCCTCAGCCAGTCTGAGTCATAAAGAACCTGGCAACACGCCGCACGCGCAAAAGCCACGCACAACCCATTCATAACCCTGCATTCACTCCCACCACACAAAGACACCTCAGCTCTGCGTGCTGCCAGATGCGTGACTTCTACTACACAGGAACTCAAAGCATAAGAAGAGCCCGAAGTTCATTTGAAACACACACAATTCATGGTTGCTGCTGTATCTTCTGGTGGTTTTAACCACTGTTAACCAGCCTGGTTAAATCTGTCACATCAACTTAGATTTAGCTTTTGGCTTGAAGCTTGTAGAATTAAACACTTACTGCCATATGACTGAAACTGGTACAATTAGTTCAATTAGTAACTTCTCATGATGTCACCACTATGCCATGTTAAGTTTCATTGAGCAACACAGGGTTAAATGTTTCGCTGCAACCTTTTGATTACACCAATTAGAATTACATCAGAGCTAGTCTCCGTCAGACAGTCCATTCACTGATCTGATTCATGCTGCCCAAAAATGGCTGAAATCCCCAGTTCCATTCTGACAACTAGCTTTGCACAACTCACAACAAACAAAGTCTTGTTGATAGAATGAGCTTGAGGAACAACTAATCCTCTGATCACAAAATCTCTAAAACGTTTCTGCAAATTTACAGAACCACAGACATTATTTGTATTTTCCACAATGCGTTTTTTTTTTCTCCATAATGGAGTGATTCTCACAAAGCCTGACAAGAAATGATTGGGTCATATTTAACCTCAAGATCATAAGAAATAAATATAGAAATATATGAATATTTTGCATATAGAAAATGAAGCATACTTGTCTGTAAGTTTTTTTTTTTATGCTTTTGTAAAAAGTATTTTATGCTCTCAAAGCCTGCCTTTATTTGATCAAAACACAGTAACAGTGTGAAATATTATTACAATTAAAATTTTATAATATATATTAAAATGTACAATCCTTCAGAAATCATTCTGATATACTGTATTTATTTCCGCTCAAGAAATATTTCAATGTTGAAAACAGTCGTGCTGCTTAATATTTTTGTGGAAACAGTAATATATTTTCAATTTTCTTAAAAAAAAAAAAAAAATCCTCCCTCAGTTATAAGCAATATTTGTCTACAGTATTATACTTATAATAGAAATCTAGAGATATGAAAGTCATATTTTTGGTCAAGTACTTACTTTATTTTTCCATACAAAATGTGCATTATTTGAGCTGTAAAGTTAACTTGATGCAGTTTTACTGAGCTGGAGACAGACTCGTTTCATCTCATGATGCTGCAAGTAAAAGTGATGCTGTGCTTGTCTGTCACAAGTATGCAAGGAATAAACAGCACCCATTTTAAATAAACCAATTCTCATGTGGATATGGCCACTAAAATATCTATAGCTGATAAATGTTCTCATTTCACCTGTCAAAATATGCTAAAATATTTTTTGGACTGCAGGATGAAAGCATCATGACTACTATTCATTTTACACTAACACTAAATGTGTGGAAAAGCACTGATTTGATTTACTGTCTATACATACCATTTCTTCCCTCTGTCTCTTCTTGTCCTCGAATTGGATGCGTAGTTGCAGCTCTTCTAGAGCAGACACCGGCCCTCCAGGACCGAGTTTGGGCAGCCCTGTAATACAACATCACCTCCGAGAACATACAAGTAACTCAGTATCAGTACTCACCATCCATGGCCTGTTTGAGCGCTTGCAGTTTCTTATGCTTCTTTCTGATGCGGTCGTAAGCGCTGTTGAACGCTGAGCCGACGGACTGACTCGAATGGTGATGGGCCTTCCTGACATCTAGGCTCCCAAAGTCCACGTAGCGAGAGTCCCCGGACTTGGAAGACGACTTGTGTCGACCGGCCGAGCGTGTGCTCAGAGCGCTGCTGCCCCTGCGGGCGTCTTCCAGGGCCCCAAAGCGGAGCATGTCCGGGTCAAGGCAGGCCAGGTCTGCTGAGGAGGCCCAGCTTTTGTTTCTCTGATGGGGGTGTGAACGCTGGTTCACCTCCATGGGTCGGCCGCGCTGCTGCAGTTGTTGTTGTTGGCGCTGCTGGTACAGTTCGGCAGAGGATTCGGACCCAGCGTGGTACTCTGAAGGGGGGTACTGACTGAGACCCTCGTCCGCTCTGACAAGGTCCTGGATGGGAAGAGAGCCCATAGAGCGACTGAGTCCACGGTTCAGGTTGGCCTGCTCCTGGGTTCGGGCTCTATAACGCTCCAGCACACGATGGGCGGCACTACGGCCTAATTGGGTGAAGAAGAAAAAAACATACAAAAAAGGGTTAAATATCAAGAACTTGCATTAGTATAAAGATGCATGATCCATGTTCAGGAATTTGGTGATCAGGCAACATTTCTTATTATTAATGTTGAAAACAGCTGCACTGCTTAATATTTTTGTGAATCCATAATATTTTTTTCAGGATTCAGAAAAATGTTTTGAAAATGTAAATCTTTTGTAATATTATAATTGTCTTTACTGTCACTTTTGATCAATTTAATGCATTCTTGCAGGAAAAATAGTATCTATTTATTGATACATTAATTAAAAGTATCTCACTGACCCCAAACTTTTAAACAGTAATGTAGGGGGAAACATTTTGTTTTGTACTGTTACAATATTTTCAAGCATATTTTACGCCCTTACTCTTTTTTTTTTTTTACTGTTGGGTGTTCAGGAATTTTATTTCTATTTCCATTACTTTTAATAATGGTTCTTAAAGAATAATGATGTCATACAGTTATTTTTATACCTAAAATCAGCATAAAAGAAGTATAAAAATATTAAACATATAAATACAATTAAAATAAACTAATTAAAAAAATATATATATTGTTCTTAACATTACGCTAAAGACGAATGAAGGAAAAATTTGCTTAATTAATAATGTCAATTGGCTTTATTTTGTTTATGCAAAATATATTTTTTATGAAGCATGACTGGAACATTTTTATTTGGCTCGTTTCGTAAGATTCACCCGTCGTTTATTATTGTGCTATCAACTATTGGTCATTTTACATGTCTGAAAACAGGTGGTTCTTGGCCATAATAATCTACAATGTCCAGACTTGCGACAGTGAAAAATTTGGCTATATAGGACTACAACTTAATTGGTAATTGGTAAATAATATAATATAAAAAATATATACAAGATATTAAATATAATATAAATAATTAAATATAAATACAAAATAATAAATACAAATAATTTACTCATACTGAAGCTTTTTATTTATTACTCTCTTTTTTTTGGGTCTTTTTGTCACTTTTGTTTTTTTTAAACAGCATGGATAAAAGATCAGAAGAAGATTATCCCCTGCATAAACATTATGGCATGTTGCGACAACAGTTATGCTAATTAAGAACCATATAGTTGTTTATTTGCAGTGTCTGTTTTGTTGAAGCACATGATTCGCTCATGTACGGTGCAAACATGCTAAACATTACCTAAAAATAAGGCAGAAAATTACCATTAAAGGGGTCATATGATGCGATTTCAATTTTTCCTTTCTCTTTGGAGTGTTACAAGCTCTTGGTGCATAAAGAAGATCTGTAAAGTTGCAAAGACTAAATATACACATACATACATACATACATACACCCACACTTTGCTGTATACAATAAGCAGTATGCTAGTATTTTTTAAAACATAGCATAAACAATCTGCACATTGTGACAATATCATAAAATGGGAAAACAAATTTCCCCAGAACCACTATTTATCTAAAAATAAAATAAATAAATATCACAAAATTCCCCAGAACTTTCTATCTGCAATCTTGAGATTATCTGGAAAGCTCAGCACCACTCTTTAGTTTCAGATTGGCACTTCTAGAGCTGGTGGTGTTCTGGCTTGTCTCTTGTGGCAGGGAGGATCTTTTATCCTTCAGTTCTGATAAGCAGCAGCTCCTGAGGGGCCAAAGCCACGTCATGTCAGAACCAAGCCCTGCTCTGTTTACATTCTGAATCACTTCCTCTTAACTTGATAAATGTTGAGTGATGAGTCAGCATGAAGCGCAGCACTTCACAGAATTGAAACAATCAGTCAGAGATTATAACAAAGCGAAGAAATCGTAAGCTGTGATTACAATCAAAATATCATCATTTATTAACAGCAACTCCAAACGTGTGGTTGACGCAAAAGACGACTGGAAGATCAGGAGTGTGAGCGTGTACTGACATGCCTGTGTGTTTGCGTGTGCATGTGTGTGTGGGTGAAAGCAAGATAGAAGTAGAAAGCAAATGCTTACATGTTTAATAACGGAGGGATGAAACCCCATCTTCATTTTCTTATATAATAAGCAAAAGATGCCTATTTACATAAGGCATCTGGTGTGTATTACCTGCTGGAAGGCCTTTTCCTCGCAGCCGTTCACGAATCTCTTTGCTTCTCTCTGGAAGTGACTCCCTTTCACTTTGAGACAACAGACCGTCCAGCTAAACAAACACATGCACAAAAATGAGAAATCAATCATTCTCTTTTTATCAAAGAACAAGATTAAAAGAAAGCAAAATATACTGAATTGTTTTCTCTTGTGAAATAGATTATCATTTAAACACACACTGCCACTCGAAAGTTTAGGGTCAGTAAGATTTTTATTTATTTTTTTATTTTTTTAAAGAATGCAATACTACTTTTATTCCTTTATCATTTTTATGATTTATGATAATGATTTATATTTCAAATAAATGCTTCTATTTGCTATTTGCTTTTATTTCAATAATGTTCTTTTGAACTTTCTATTCAAAGAATAATTAAAAAAAATGTATCCATTTCCACAAAAATATTAAGCATACAACTATTTTCAACATTGATAATAATCTGAAATGTTTCTTGAGCAGCAAATCAGCACATTAAAATAATTTCCTAATAGAAGGATCACGTGACACTGAAGACTGGAGTAATGATGCTGAAAATTCAGCTTTGCATCACAGGAATAAATTACATTTTAAAATATATTAAAAAAGAAAACAGTTATTCTAAATTTTCTATTATTACTGTTTTACTGTTTACTATTTATTTTTGCTCAAATAAATGCAGCCTTAATGAGCATAAGAGACTACTTTCAAAAACATTAAAAATTCTTACAGATCCTAAACTTTTGAATGGTAGTTTACTTTATGAAATTTTCTCTACAAGGCACCCAGATTGTATAAGCTGCAAAAAATAAGATCAATTTTAAATAATAATAATAATAATAATAATAATAATAATAATAATTATTATTATTATTATTATTATTATTATATAATGGAAAGATGGGGGAAAATTAAAACAGGCTACAAACTTTGGGGGAAAAATTAAATGGAGTGTTGAGGGCAAATGGATTTCATATCCTTAGAGGACTTGAAGAAAGCTTGGTCTAGACTGTTAAACCAAGTCGAAACATATTTTGAATAAAGTTTTTGCCTAAATCAGGTTTGCTGGAGGAAGAAAAACCAAACATAATGGAAGACTTGGGAAAATCTCAGGAGGGCTGCTCACAGGAAGAACAAACCCAAGCAGCCACTCACAAGATTAATCAACAGGAAGGCAGGCTTGTTTTCTCACATTATGACCCCGATGCGTGGCCAGATACAACAGCATGAAAACCAAACGCCCTACAGAACACACAGTAAAAAATAAATAAATAAAACCCTGGGAAATATCTATTACTGATCGATGCCATGCCTCAGTTACATAACCGTCCGGTCGTGTTTGTGCTGCAGCACCGCTGAAAACACTGGCAAGAATTGGTCATATTTTCCAAAATGAAACACTCTGGTTTTGGTTTGTGGTGATGTGCTTGTCTAGATTCGATTCAAACTCTTGTCTATGCACAGAGAGAGGACGAGAAGGAGTGAGAGACAGACAGAAGATAGATGGAGAGCGAAAGCAATGAGGGAGTTGGAAAGTTGGGAGAGGAACAGAGAAGAAGGGGAGAGAAAAGATGACAAGAAAGGAGAAAAAAAGTTCTTTGTTTGGCACATCATTAAACTATAAAGCATATGAAGTCTGAAATCAACAGGAATTAGGAGACAGCATTCCTACTGGATCACTTAAACAATTGAAAAAGGCACACAGTGCAGAAAATAAGACCAGAAACACATCTGTTCCTAGCAATATGCTCTTTCTGTATCGCTGTGCAATTAAACTACTGGGGAGTGTGCAGCTGAGGAACAGGATGTGACAACAAACACGAGAAAGACTGTTAACTACCTTTTTAATTGAAAGCCGTTTTATAGGGCTGGACTGAGCAGGCAATTCAGGTAATAGGAACAGTATGTTCACACATATTGTTAGTGCTGAATCATTAGTGCTTTGTGATCAACCAGGAATAAAAAGGGTGGGGACTGAGAACTGGATATGGAGTAAAGCAAATAAATAAATAAATAAAGTATAATATATAAAACAGGCTTTAAAACTTTAAGTAAAATACTGTGCTGCAACAGAAAACAATAACATATACTGTATTCTTAAACTCTTAGGTTTGAATCATTCTAACAACTCACTCATTCGCTGAAATAATCAAAGTGGTTCTTTATTTAGTTGCTGAACCTTAAGTCATGACTTCTTAAATTCATAACTTGAAATGAACCGAAAATGGTTGAAACATTAACAAAATGTTGAAAGAAATATATAGATGTACCTGCGAGAGACTGCCAAGAACGAGTCTCACCAGCCTCCTGACGTAAGAAAACGAAGGGTCACAGTTGGAGTTACGGATGTGAGCGCCGCAGGTGTCCAGAACCGAGCGTACGGACAGTCGGGTGAGCGTGGAATCATCACACATGTTGAGCAGGACGCGGTTCAGATGCTCTCCAAGTTTCATTGGCTAAAACACACATGTAGAGCTCAGTGAAAAGATAGTTTGCTGATAGAAAAGAAGTTGCTGAATCGTCTAGAATCTTTATTCGCCACAAGTCCTGGGCCGTATTCAGGGCCGGATTTACCTCTTTTCGTGACATAGGCAAAACAAATTTTTGGGCCCCCCTTCCCTATTAATATAATAGGCCTAATATTACCACCCAAGCAAACAAAAATATTTCTTAATCAGTGAAACCGTTACAGTATTTTCTATCGCAATAAGCGCTTGCGTCCAGTCAATAAAAATCGAATGTAGTTCTTCATTTGTTTGAGAACTGAGAAAGACCATTCCATTAATAGGCGCGGCGACGTGGCCACATAACCACTTCGGGAGTGCATTATTTCTCTAATAATTTTAACGGCCTGGAGTCACAATCACTCATCAATTGTTCAGATGATTTGTTTCAAGATATTTAACATGTTTCTGTCCTGAAATCCTGGGTTTCAAGATATTTAACATGTTTCTGTCCTGAAATCTTGTGTGTGTTGAACTAGCTAATTTTAATCACCTCATCCCAAACCTTCCGTAGCTAATAACGGAGGCTTTGACAAACATTGATATGCAGGTTAACGCAGTTATCAGAGAGAGAGAGAGAGGGAGAGAGATTAAGCGCGTGTGAATACTTGCGTTTGTGTGTCTCTCAGCAGTATTCAGCAGCAGCGTCTATTAATAGCGAATCTTTAAGTTGAACTGCTTCAAGAACCTCGCTACTGAGAAAGGTCATGTAGCTTTTCAGCTGCGAAACTATTTTATTGATAAATTGGCGGGGCAGTGCTGACAACAAGTTTCTGGTCGTGTCTCCGCATGTGTGCGCGAGTACGTGTCTGTACTGTGTGTGTGTCTGTGAGAGAGAACGGGAGAAAGACGTATTAATTTATTTACCCAATTTAACATGATGTTGCAATGGTCCAGAAGAATAAAACAGTGGAGACTCGATTCTTACTTGATTAATATAGATAGTAGGGCTGTACGATAAATCGCATGCGATATTTAACGTGCAGCCCTAATAGATAGAGTTTTTCATGTTTCTAAGCTAGCAATGTGATACTCTATAAAAAAGTAGAAAATACATAGTACAACTGGGTTAAAATATCAATTTAATTTGATTTTAACCATGTCTAGGAGGACTCACCTGGCTCTGAGGAATCTCATAGTCTGCACCCCAAAACAACGTCATGCCAAGTGAATACATGTGCATCTAGAAATTAAAAAGGAAACAGAAATGTGACAATGAAACATTTTAGCCCATGTTAACAGCCTCATTCTGACATTTTCACACACAAACAAGCTTGTGTTGTCAGAAGCATTTGTCAGCCAGTAGTATGTTTTAGGCTTTAATCAGCATCAAACTTTATAGATAGCACATCTGCATAGTTTTGTGTTTCTTCCCTGTCTAGTTCTTCTGTCTGTTCATCCTGCTAAAGAATAGCTTTTGGAACAAAATATCCAAGAGTCTGCCAAAGAATGCACAAGTCTCCCTCTGAGAAAGTCATGTTTACACAGAAGCATTCAAGCGTACTGTCAAAATGTTTTAGGAGAAAATATATTCATGTAAAATATAAAAGAAATGGTTGTGCAATAGAACCAAAGTCGTTTTTCTCACTTTTTGTCGACAGTGAAAAACAAAATAGTTTTAACTGAACAGAAGTCATGGGGGGGGAAACGAGATTTTTAAAAAGGAAACAAGAAGCCAAACAAAAGTCTTTCAAAATCCATAAGGTACCTTTTCCATATCAGAAAGTGAGGAGAGGTTGAGGCCCTCCAGCACCTCTGGAGGAGTGAAAGCCCGCAGATCCTTCTGTGTGACATTTTCATCCGTGAAAGAGATGTTTCCGGAAGGCATGAGCAGCAGCGACCATGGAGAGATGATAAACCCCAACACAGACGGATCTGTCGAACCTGAGGAAAAACAAACATGCAGAATATTACCACAAACTGCAATTCTTAGGACACAGCCTGAATCTTTATCAAATTCTTAAAAATAAAATAAAACAAAACAAAACAAAACAAAACAAAACAAAAAATTAAATTAAATAAAATTAAATTAAATAAAATTAAATTAAATA